CTTTGATACTCCATACAACTTCAAAGTATCCAAAAAGATACTCAAGTACAGTAACATTACATTTACTCCAATACTTTACACCTCTGCCATTCAGTGTAACTGCATGGAAAGAGCAGCCAGTAAAATTGTATTGTAAAGCTAGTAAAATCAGAGGAAAGATTTGGAACTAAATGATGGTGAATATATGATGACAGAACATGAATTTTCTCTGATATCAAAGATTTTTACATCAACCATTAATTCACTACACCACTTTCAACATACTTTTTTTTTTTTAAAGGAAAATCCTGTTTCTTGCTGAAATAAGAATGCAACACCAGACTTTTCATTTTAAACCCTGCACACAAAGGCTGGATCTGGAGCTGTGTGCTGCTGCTGGCATCACTACAACCATCTGAAGCTCAAACCTACTTTATTTAAAAAAAAACACATTCACATAAACATGTGCAAGCTCACATGTAGGCTTTCTAGGTGTAGAGCTTCCCAAAAACAACAGCAATGAATTCCACATTAAAGTACAACATCACCCAGAAAATCTATTACTTGAGGGTGAGCAAATAATGACAGAATTTTCATTTTTAGTTGAACTATCCCTTTCATTTTGAGACACTATGGCGGCTTCTACATCACTCTGCTAAACTGTTTACAATGAGGCCTTTACACAGAAGTGTTTCAGGTCAGGATAAATCTTAAGTGGCCCTTAGAGAGATTTTCTTGAGGGAGGACTAGCGTTGTGTTGACACACAGGGCTGTGCTTCCTCTCTCCCTCTCTCTCTCACAAACACCCGTCAGTACATGACTCAGCATCATAAGACATTGCCGGGAGTTGCTGGGGTCCTTCCGGGAGAGTTTTCTGTTTTTATGATATGCTTACAATAGGTTTCAACAGTAACTCTCCTGCACTGCAGGATATATGAAAGTGCTTTGTAACATGTCCTGTTATAGATATGCTCGGATGCTCTTGAACACAAAGGTATCATGAGAGTAGCATGAACAGATACTACATATCTACAATAATATTTGAGTTTTTTAAAATTTATTTATTTTTATAAATGAATACTTTAATTCAGCAAGGATGCATTAATCAAAAGTGAGACATTTATAATGTGACAAAAGATTTCAATTTCAAATAAGTCCTATTGAATTTTCTATTTATTGAAGGACCTGAAAAAATTTCTTTACAGTTTACACAAAAATGTTAAGCAGCACAACTGATTTCAACATTGATAATAATGAGAACTGTTTGTTGAGCACCAAATCAGCATGATCTGAAGAATGAGGACTGGAGCAATGGCTGCTGGAATTTCAGGGATAAAATTACAATTTAAAATACATTAAAATAGAAATCAGTTATTTGAAATTGTAATAATATTTCACAATATTACAGCTTTTACTCTACTATATCAAATAAATGCAGCCTTGGTCAGCATAAGAGTTTTTTATTTTTTTTCAAAAACATCTTTAAAATATCTTATGACCCCAGACTTTTTAGCTGTAGTTTATCTTATATATTGCCTATATTATTAATATAATTCGTTTATTAGCTTGTGCTGATGTGAACTTAGTCAAATTGTATTATTTATAATATTCTTGAACCAAATCTTCACCTTGATTGTAGTTGTGTGGCCTGTAGATGTTCCACATTGATTTGGCATTTAGACTTAATATCAAGCCAGTTTTATTTTCACTCAGATATTTTTGATATCATCATTTAATACTAATTAACAATTTTTCCATAGTCTGAGCAGCAGGGCTCATCTGAGTTTTCAATCAAGATGATATCAAGATCAGATCATTCAAATAAAGTTGCCAGTAGCCCAGATTGCTTACTTATCTATATAAATGCAAGTTTGCTCTTCTGAAGTCTGTATCTTGCTTTGGACACACAAATATCTATTAGAAATATGCTTTCAAAGCAAGCCATCAAAATCACATATTTTAATATTAGCCGAGTAACTTCAGAAGAAGTGCTCCTATTACTTCCCTAACTGCAGTGACAGCAGTTCTTCTAGATGCTTTCTTGGCTTTGGTGGCCATTCCTCATCTTTTTCACAATGAAAAATGACCCAAAACTTCAGCATTATAGTGTAGAGGGACCTAAACAACATGCTTAGGTTCTAGCAGACATTCTGTCTCTATGAATATCCACGAACACATACACCCTGCCAAACCTCGTCTGATCCAGTACATTGTGATCTCTCTCATTTTCTCCTCCATCCCCCCAGGCCGCTATAACATAATACAGTGTACTGTACAGTAAGTAAAGCCTGTGCCCAGAGGAACCCTATGGCGATGCCATACCATCTGCGGACCTGGCACCAGCTGTCTCTGCTGGCCAACCACCACGATAATTAACACTGACACCTCGCTCCATCACATTTCTTGTACTCTTCACCTTGCATTCATACCTAATGCACATCAGAAAGAGAGATCTGGCAGATGAAAAGAGTGTCTTTTTAAGCGTTTGGCTCTTTGGATAGCGATAAGGACGTTTCCTTGAGTTGATGAATGTAATGCAACCCCTATCTGGACTCTCCAGAGTCTCCAGAGCCAGGCAAAGAGAGAGAGGAATACAGAGAGATAGTCTTGATTTCATTTTAATACAGCTTCTTCTAATTGGACATCAGGGTTGAGAAGTTCATTGACTGTCGCTGTCTGTTGTAATGTGAGAACAAAAGGTCAGTGAGCATTATAAAGACACATGATTCACAGGTTTTCCCCAAGCCTTCTGAAAAGAAAACTCTAGCAATTTTATTTATAATGTAATAAAAAAAGCAAGTACACCATTAAGTGTAACACTCACAAAATGTTGTTTGATTTAAAACAACTTAAAACAATACAGTTTAATACATATCTTTACAATTAACTAAATCAAATAAATATATTTTTATGTATAAGTGATATCCTCAGAGATATTCTCATTAAACTGATCAAAAGAATCAGTTAAGATTAAAAAAAAAAAAAGTTATCAAAAATCCTGATTTTTCCACAAAAATATTAGGCAGCACCTAATGATTTCTGAAGGATCATGTGGAACTGAAGACTGGGGTAATGGCTGCTGAAAATTCAGCTTTACCATCAATGGAATAAATGATATTTTATTATAAATAAATTATTGTATTAAAATAAAACAGTTATTTTAATATTTTAATTATAATTACATTTCATAATCTTACCATTTTTACTGTATTTTTGATCAAATAAATGCAGTATTGGTGACCATAAGAGACTTCTTTATAATATTACTGAACCCAAACTTATTCTCTGAACTTAAAAAAAGAAAATTAATTATGTTTTGCAATTTTGCTTTTCAAGAAAATGTATCTTGAAAACACAATAAAAATACAGATTGAAATGAAACCGTGTCGAAACATGAGCCTAATAAAAGCACAACAGCTGGGTTTGTGAGTAATAATAAAATAAAAGCTTATCCAAACAGCTTCATTCTGTTTGCATTAGCAATATTGTCTCTGATATTACAGCTTGAAATGTGCTAAAATGACAGTGTTGATTTTATGCCGCAGTGACTTCACAAGCTCTCCGTTTCAGCGCTTATATCTGGCACTGCCTTGAACGAACGGTGGTTTGACAGAATGCAATATAAATCACAACACATTAATCCAATGCACACTCTTCCCACCATACACTACTGAAGAGCATGTTAGTCTAACGGATACTCTTGGCTGTAGTGAGTAGATGATGGAAACTAATAGCTATATATATATATATATATATATATATATATGACACTGTATACATTATTTTATTAAATCTTTTAATATATTTTCTAGCTTCAGTGAGATTAAAAACCAACCAACAGCTAGTCTAAGGTGTGTGCTGAAAAAGAGTTTCTCTGTATCTTGCGTAACTGCACTACCAAAATAAGTTTAGACCAAATGCATAACCCACTTAGAAATGCTGTCCTGTCCTCTTGAGAATGCACGGCTTATGGTGTTATGAATAAGGATGGCAAATAAAGCATTCATCTTCTTGCTGTTCAGACAGATTTAGGAAATTGTACTTGGCACATGTATTTCTTGATTTTTGTTTATCATCATGTAAACAATACAAAAGCTTATACTTTTTTGCAAGCTAGCTCTCACATCTCTTTGCTCAGCTGTTTCGTGTTTTGATATCTTCCTCTTTCAGTTGAGCTTCAGACATAGCATATTGTATGGTCTCCTGGTCCTGTCAAGACTGACTTATGACACTTTGCTGAGCCAAGACCCGGTGTGTTCGCTAGAGACGACTCAGCAGGCTTTGTAAAAGAGTGCAGGAGTTGCTGTGGCTGGCTGAAGTTGAACAAAAAAGCATGTTGATAGCCTATAGTCTTTAGCTTTTATGTCAGAGGTGTGACGTTCAGGAATTTATATTGTAGAACAAAGCGGGAAAGTCTTTTCGAGTAATGAATGTTAACACGTTATTTTCACAACAACTGAAACCCACTATTGCAAAAACAAGCCAAGTACATTCCCGACGGAATCCGTACCGAACGCGCTTCTCCTCTTCCGGGTTTACAAACAAAACTAGCTATATTGTTGCAACTGTTTTAAGTAGGCTAGTTAACCTTGTTGGTACTGTTACTCCAACCTTTACCTCACATCACCTAGAACTCGAAAGGCAAGTAAAAAATGAAATAAACTGATTCGCGCGCTTACTAGTAGGCTACGTATAGTTCGCGTGTTACGTTTATTATTAGTCTAATCTTCTCGCGCTCTTAAATAATCACAACGTGACATTAAATGAACTTGGTTTATTATGACACAGGCTGAATGCCACTGGCTCAGGAAGGAACAATGAAGGCCAAACTGGTCGTTAAGCACAAACAATGGCTTGATTGATGGTTTTCAGTGTTGTCTTTATGAAAACAATCGTTTTCTTGCTGTGGAATAAGTCTGTATTTATATTAAAGCTTTTTCTTAGGAACCTGGCCCTCTATGCAGCAAAGTGGCTCGTTCAGAACAATGGCAGCGGCTGTTTTCGCGGGATCGGAGTCTCACCTGTCAGACTGTCGTAGCATTCGATCTCGGTGCTCTCCACCGCTCGCCGCTGCTCCTCCGTCAGCTTGGCCGCGGTTTGGTTCAGGAGGTTCACCTCGGATCCGGTGGTCCCATCGACGACATGGATCCCTTTCAACTGCAGCAGCGCCCTGTGATACTTTCCAATAGCTTCCCGGAATTTCTTCTCCTTGTAGCATCGGTGACCCTCCAGTTTGAAGTCGATCGCTTTCTGTATTTTCGCCTCCATCTCCATCTCCGCGCGGTCACAAAGGGGCAGTCACACAACACTTTTCAATTTCATTTGTATGCATGTGAGCACGGGAGACCAGAAACGCAAGCTCACACAAAACATTTGTATTTTGGGCGTTTCAAGGTCTAATTTTTTGGTGAACTGCAAATTCCTATTGTCACCAATAAAAGAAAAACATCATGATGTGACCTCTCAGCTGAATTAAAAAAAGAAAAATAAAATAAAATAAACTGTAAAGCTGCAGGTTTGCAGAGTTGCAGGAAAAGGGAGTAGACTGTAGATTTTCTCATTTTGGATCAGTATTATTTGTTATATATATATATATATATTTTTTTTTTTCTCCCCCTCTAAAAGTCTAGTGACCACAGGTTAAGGCGCATTAATGGAAATGCTCATGTGTGCAGTTTTATTATAAAAATCCTGTGAAGTGAAAGGAATAGTCTACGCAAAAAATAAAGAGAGTCTCCATTTACTTCTCCCCTTGTCCAAAACTGTATGATTATTTTCTTCTGCAGAACACAAATGATATTTTGAAGAATTTTGAAAACCAAATCATTCTGGTGCCCATTGACATCCATTTATCAAAAAACAATTCCACATTAGAAAGAAAATCATACATTTTCGGAATGACATGAAGGTGAGTATATGATGACAATTACAATTTTTTTGTGAACTATCCCTTTAAAAACTAGGAGGTAAGAACATGAGATTACTTCATAGAGGAATCGGTATGCTGCCGTGTTTGTGGTAAACATAGCACATGTTTTTACTTAAGTCTCTTGGCTACCGTAGTGGGGAAAAAAAACCTTGACATTTCGAGCATTTGATGCTGGGCTCCATGCATTTTATAATAAATAAATCTAAATTTGTAATATAAATCTTTATTACAAACCCCCCTTTAATCTGGAAAAATGTTTCACTCACAGGGTCACAGGAGTGCAGCTATAAAAGTAGGATAGGGGGATAGAGCATGATTCCTATAACCAAACATAAGGACAACAGGTATGTCCACACTGACATTTAACATATTGCAGCTGTCCCTTTTTCCCCCAGTATCATCAATTCATAACACTCCATGAGGTAAAGCATTTCGACTTCCCAATCCATCAAGTGTGGTCCTAGAGTTTCTCCACTCAAACGGAAATTCAGGTGGGTTTTAAGTTATAAAAGGGGCAAACTGGATAAAAAGGGGTGCCTTTCAGTTTTTTGGGTATTAGGTTTTCCGGGCGCCCAGTCTCTTGAATACACTGACTGCCCCAGCGTCCATCTGAGCCCCGTGAGTGTCACCTGTGCTACTACTGACCTTAGGGCTGGCCAGAGCAAAGCTGCCCTGGGCTTTGCTTCTGCTACTCGTAACACGACTGTCCTGGGTGTCTGCGGGCTGACTGACTAGAGGGGTCGAAGAGGTAGGGTGGACTGACGGGGCCTTGCCCAGTCTCTGCAGTACACCCAGTTTGGGTGTCCCCTTCTGGCTGGAGGAGGTAGAGGAGGAGATTGGTGGTGTGCCTTCAGATAAGGGGAGTTTGTACTTTGCACCTAGTCGACGCAGAGTGAGGGGTTTAGATTTGGCGGTTACAGTCTCTTTATTAGAAGTGGGTGGGGGTCGTTTGAGGACGCCGGCATATTGCAGCACCGAGCCCTCACCGTCGCTGCCATTGTCCTCGAAAGTGTCTGCAACACCATCTGTCTTTCCTCCACCCTCTTCATCTTCCTCTGCTTCACCCAGACGGCTAAACACACCTGTTGGCTGCTGCATGAAAAAAAAGAGTCAGAAAGACAGTGATGTGAAAAATAGAAACACTTCACAATAAATTAACATCAGTTAATGCATTAGGAATCACGAACAACAAAAAACACTTTTACAACAATTCATTTTGGTTCTGTGTTAATTTCTACATATGCAAATACATTTATAACGTTTTAAGTTAAATCAACATTAGTTAATGTATTATTAATAAACAAGAATTAAAGGGATAGTTCACCCAAAAATGAAAATTACCCCATGATTTACTCACCCTCAAGCCATCCTTGGTGCATAAGACTTTATTCTTTCAGACGAATTCAATCGGCGTAATATTTAAAAAAGTCCTGGCTCTTCCGGGCTTTATAATGCCGTTCCAGCCGGATGACATAGGATGTCGGCGTCGTGAGAATATGCTAGTCTCGTGAGAACCAACGTTTGTTTACAGGAGCAAAGGAAGCAAAGTTTCCTTACTTTAGCGGAATACGTTTTACAAAATATTAGAATAGAAAACAGTTATTTTAAATGGTAATCATTTTACAATATTACTTCAATATTACAGTCTTTACTGTACTTTATTTTAAAAATCTTACCAACCCCAAACTTTTAAACAATAGTGTATATGCTACATGTATGCATTTTATATGCAATAAGTGCCCTGGGCAATCAATGACTAGCATCTGCATTCAATAAAAAAACATGACTTAACATCACTGCTTGTTAAAGGGGTGGTTCAAAGCGATTTCACTTTTATAACGTTAGTTAGTGTGTAATGTTGCTGTTTGAGCATAAACAATATCCGCAAAATTACGAAGCTGAACGTTCAATGCAAATAGAGATATCGTCTTTTAAAATTCTGGCAGTTTAATGCCTACAAAAACGTGGCGGGTTCATGACATCACAAACCCAGATAAACCCCGCCCTTGGGAAAAGGCAGCAAAGGGGGCGAGGCCGTGCTGTGCTGCTTTAGAGAAGAGGAAGAGAAAACTAGAGCGTTCCAGCCGGATGACATAGGATGTCGGCGTCGTGAGAATATGCTAGTCTCGTGAGAACCAACGTTTGTTTACAGGAGCAAAGGAAGCAAAGTTTCCTTACTTTAGCAAAGGAAAACCAGTCTCCTCTTGGCTTATATCGAAATCCTCCAAATTTTTCTTTACAAATCCAACGACAGATAGCGCAAGCTAGAGATTACCGTTTATAACATTTTAAATATGGATATTTTTCTTTAAAAAAAAACACACAGATTCGCTACAGGAGTCCTTTATTCACCCCCCGGAGCTGTGTGAGGCACTTTTTATTACGGATGGATGTGCTTTATTTGACTTCTTTTGGAGTATTGAAAAATAATACCCACCCAATGCCATCAAAGTTTGGAAGAGCCAAGACATTTTTAAATATAACTCCAATTGCATTCGTCTGAAAGAAGAAAGTCATATACACCTAGAGGGTTGAGGGTGAGTAAATCATTAGGTAATTTTCATTTTTGGGTGAACTATCCCTTTAACAATGAACTACAGCATATTTTGGAACTAACATTAACCTAGACCAATCAATGACCTAAAAATGGTTCATTGCTGGTTTATGATACTCAATGCACTAATTTGAATGTTACAGTAGTGTTATAGTCACTAAATGATAATGTGTGTAATAAAGAGAAAACAATTCTTAGTGTCTGAGTTTTGGCAGTTTAATGCCTACAAAAACGTGGCGGGTTCATGACATCACAAACCCAGATAAACCCCGCCCTTGGGAAAAGGCAGCAAAGGGGGCGAGGCCGTGCTGTGCTGCTTTAGAGAAGAGGAAGAGAAAACTAGAGGTGCGTGTAAAAATCTATTCATATATGAATCGCGATTCTGTCTTCTACCGATTCTAATGGATTCACAAGTTTCATAATCAATGTTCAAAAGCAGCGGTTCTTAATATTGTTCCTCGCGTCCCCCTGCTCTGCATCTATCTCTCTCAATCAGATCATCAGCTCAGCTCCAACAATGAACTGTTCCATTTATACACTTATTTTCACATAACTATGAGAAGCGTTAAACATGGACGTGTGTGCAGTTGCCGTACTGTATTAAAGCTTTAATCAGGATAAAAACTTATATTAAAAGCTAACATAAGCGATAGCATTTACAAATAACAGCGTATCTAAAAGTATGAGACAACAACAAACAAAAAACATATGCCTACCATTAAATAATGCAATGGTTCTGCAAGATCCTCTTCAATAATATCCTCTGCTTCTCAATCGGGCTCAAACTGATAAGCGATATTAACGACGCCGTTGTTTACAATACAACCGGAGCACATGCCGCTGAGGTGAGGGGCGGGACTTTAGACGCGCACTAGAGGCGGTTTAGCCAATCACAACACACTGGGCTAGCTAACCAATCAGAGCCCATCACCTATTTCTGAGGGTGGGGCTTCATAGAAGCAGGAAATTATCATCGCGTTTCTCAGAGAAGGGACAGGCCGGTGTGGAATAAAGATAAATTAGGTGAAAAATAATGTTTTTTTTTTTTTTTAAACGAAGCATTAACATGTTAGACTGCAACCCATAAACACAATCAAGCCTAGAAAAAAAAAGTCAACCACCCCTTTACCCTAATCAGATGTACCTGTTTTGGCACTAGCGTTGGAGACCGTTACTGAAATTCGGTTGTCAGGGTGCCGAGCAGGCGTGCTTGGTGGGGAGTCCCGGCTCAGAGCATTGGCGATCATGCGTGTGGCAGCTGTCAGGGGAACATGAACATTACCAGAGCTACAGCTTCAGCCCACTCAAACAAAGATAAATCACTCCCTGTACGAGCAACCAGTAGAAGAACTGCAGGGAAAAGATAAATCACTCCCTGTACGCGCAACCAGTAGAAGAACTGCAAATATATTATATATATATATATATATATATGTGCAAAACAACTTAATACTTAAGATACTTACGAGTGTTAGCAGTACGTCTCAGTTCAGCCTGTACACTAGTCTGTCCAGATGAAATGGCCTCGGTTGTCGTTTTACACATATCCTGCATTAAGAAGATAAAAGATCATTATTTCACATTTAGAATAATGATGTCAATGCAAGGGTATGCATGAAAGACAAGAAAATCTTTAGTGATCAACAAATGTTGAACGAACTGAACGCAAGACAATAAATAAAATTGTTAAATAATCAACAGTTGAAAGGTTAGTTCACCTTTGTCTTACAGGGTTGTTGTTCCAAACCTGTAAGACCTTTGTTCATCTTCGGAACACAAATTAAGATATTTTTGATGAAATCCGAGAGCTTTCTGACCATTCATAGAGAGCAATGCACCTGAAATGTTCCCAGAGCCAGAAAAGTAGTAAAGACATCGTTAAAACAGTCCATGTGAAATCAGTGGTTCAACCGCAATTTTACAAAGCTATGAGAATACTTTTTGTGCACAAAGAAAACAAAAATAACTTTATTCAATAATTATTCTCCTCAAAACCACATATTCCTCCATTATCGAGAGTACCACGACACATACACGTGCTTTCCTGTGCGTAAACAAGGCACAGCACATTGTTTACATGCAGAGGTACTCTTGATTAGAGATGTAACGATAAATCGGTTTGATGCCAAATCATGATAAAATTCCCTACAGTTAGTATTACCGTTTCATCTTTTAATTATCATTAAAACCGTATTAGATTACCGCGATTTGAACAACTCACGATAAATAAATGAAGAGTTCGGGGGTTTTTTATTTTAATTTTTGAACTTTAAATTGAGTTTCCGCCAAAATCAGTATTGTATCTGGTCGGTATTCAATTTTTTTATTTTACGCAAAATGCGATATCCGCCGAGTTATTCTGTCATGTTTTCTCCCTTTTTTTCCAAACCGCGACAAACGCCAGTCTCCCTTCTCTGCAGAATGTGATATATCCGCTCAACCAATCACAGCGCACCATTCCACGCACTGTAAACAGTAACAACCAATCACAGCGCACCATTCCACGCACTCTAGACAGTAATGGCGGCGCTTTGAATACACCCGGCATCTGTTTTCCTCATCTATTTTGTACTTTGTGATCAATAAATAGCCTTAGGGCTGCACGATAAATCGCATGCGTTTGTCATGCGCATCTCGTCAGTAAAGACGGTTCTGTGATTAATAGTAAATCTCCATCACGTGCTTTCAGATGGAGCGGCATTTAATACACAAAGCCGTAGATCACTGCAATATCACGTTCATAATCGCAGATGTGTCGCATTCAATTATGAACGCTATATTGCGTAGCTTGTCAGTGTGTGTGTTTTTATTAATGCCATTAATGTTTTTGTTAATACAGCGTATAGCACTAGTCAACTAAATGAATGTAACATGGCAAATATGAATGCACTTTTGGAAGTTGAATGTAAGGGAAATGTCTTTTTTTTTTGGTCTAATGTGATAGTTGTTCATGTATGTTCATGATGAAATTTTCTTTTGTTGCAATTAATTTATAGCATTAACAAGATGACCCGTTGAATTCATTTTGGGAGCGATGACTGATTGAATGTATTTTTAGTCCAATGCCTGCAAATAAGATTAGTATTGACCAAGTTCAGAGGCTGTCAATATGTGAACACATAACTTACTATGTTGTGCATTTTCAACGGTTTCAAAATGAAAAATAACCTTTATATTGATTCAATGGATTTATTGCATTTTGGGGAAAACAATAATACAATTTTATAATAAATCTTTGAAAATCAAAATCTGGATTTACATTTTTTATGTTATTATAACCTAAAGATGCTATGTGAAAGTTTGAAACAGAAAATAGTGGTTTTCATCTTGCAATTCATTATATGAATGTACCTCTGAAGGTTCTGACTATCTTCAGAAACGATTCGATGGCATTTTGTTTTCATCTTCGCTCCATGTAATACCTAAAGGAAGTGTTCTTAATCGCAATACTGCTTTGTCCACGGAGGTTACAGGAAACAGCTCTAATTCTGCTTTTCCATAAGCGCCACCTGCTGTCAGCGAGTGGATTTACAGAGACTTATATTTACATTCAGTCTGTGTGCAGTTTCTGTCTGGCCGAAAACGGACCGAATTTGCATGCCCTGCTGTAAATTTTGACCGGTTGATGAAAAACAAGCTTATGTGTATTCTACACATTTAAACAATTCAGATAAGTTATCTAGAATTATTTATGGAGCAGATAAAATACATAATCATTTACCAATCAATTATCATTTTGACTTATATATTTTCTACATAATCATCAATTATCATTTTGACTTATATATTTTCTTTATTTAAAGGCTGAAATGTGAGGTTTACCTTTTTATTAATTTATTAAAAAGCTTTATTTGAACATTTACATTAGATATTTCAACATGCTATTAAACTGTTGTCAGTCAAGTTGTCATTTAAAATCCGAA